GCACAACCAGCAGATTATCTCCAACTCTCTTCTGCTAGGTCATGCTCTTCCTATTATTGGCATTTAATTCATCTTCAGTAATCTCCTCATCTTTTCCCTTTTTCTTCCTGTCTCAGAGAACATTTTAAGTTAGTCAGGATAGGTTCATATTTTTGAAGGATTTTTTTCCAATTATTTTCCTTTTTTTTAATCTCTGTATTTGTCCATTCTCAAGTAGAGTTTTAGATCTACTTAAAAACACAAGGTACATTGATAAGCAAGGAAAAAGTGGGTGAGACAAGAAGGAAAAGTGTGGTAGGAACAGTGAGAGAAAGAAAGATGGAGACAGTGAGAAATCAGCTCTCTCTGCTTCCTACTCTTCTTTCCCAGGTGATCCTTCTACCTGCTCTAAATTAATATCAAAGCCAGAGGGAGCATAAAAAGGTTGGTGGGGGGAAAAAAACGACAACCTTAGGAAAAGAAAAATCATGATGCAGAAAAGCGTCTGTCCCCTGTCTAATTCCTGCAGTGGCCTGTAGCTGATGGTGCTGAGAAAAATACAGCAGCAAGCTCTGACATTTCATTTCTGTGGAGAATTGAAAAATGGCTTGCTATAATTCATCGCTTCTTGTAACTCAAACCCTTTTTGACAGGGGTACCTGCGCTGTCTTTTAACAGTGGCACCACAGTGGCTGTAATTGGACATGAAAAATGATGTTGTGTTTCTACTTGCTGGGAGAATTGGGGTGGGGGTAGGTGGGGCAGTGGCAATTTGGTGTGAGATGGTGGCATCTGCCATAATTTGGATGGGTTGGTTTTTGGCAAAAAAAAAAGGAAAGACAACCCAAAATGAAGCAAGTATGATCACCTTGCCTAAGGTTTGCAAAGGTGATAGTAAATGTGGTATTCATCATAGATGAACACGCAAAGAATCACAGGAAAATGAGAAGTGTGATGCACATGAAGTTCTAACTCCACCATCAACATGAATATTTATGGCATTTGTGGGGAAAGAACACAACCCCTCTTCCTGAAATAGGCCTATTCACAGCTGCCGTGGTTCTTCTTCCCAGTACAGATGGGGAACCTGAGCCACAGGCTTTTCCTGACTCCACACTGGGAACACTGTTGTGCATGAAACTCTGGCGTACCACTCTCTCACCACCTCTCTGAAAACTGTGTCTATATATGTAACCAGAGATCCAAATTAAATTATGTGGCTCTTGCCTAAATCTTTGTGCCTCAGTGGTCCTCAGCACATCTTTGCTACCAAATTGTTGTTCAGTGAAGCAATTCAAAACAAATTTTTTGCCAAATGGGATTCTGAATCATGAATGGAGATAAACATTGTTCTGATTTATAATGGTTTTATAACTACAGAGCATTCTGGTGCCATAAAGTCAGATATCTCCATATTATGGAGAGAATAAAAAATTTTAGTCAGGTCTTAAAGATGGCAGAGAATTTAAAGAGGAGATGGATGCTTTTGAGATTAACAAATGGTAAACAATTTACTCCTTTCTCAGTGGCACCCCAAAAGGGACAACATAGAACAAGGAAGCATGATCATATTTCAAATGAGAGCACGAAGAGCATCCATGAGCAGAGGAAAGAAGGACCGCTGAAAGGACACATCCTAGAGAAAGCCTAACAGTGCACTTACTCTGTCTACCAGTTCAGAGGTTGGGTCAGCCTGCCCTAGGTCTTTTCCCATGCAGCCAAATCCCTTTTGAAGCCTTCTAGTGACAGGGTTTAATAACACCTTACAGCCACATCTGTAATTCCACAGATCCCAGGTGGATTTCCTGATGGCATTAATCAAATTTGCTGTCTGGAAAATATTCTTTCTCCTGTCACACTCTCAGGGTCCACAAAGACAGGATATTACACATATTAAAGAGTGTCCATAACAGTATTTCCCCAAACACTCTTCAGAAGGCTGCATTTTGGAATATAAACTTTGGTTTCATTCCACTTAACTTATGGGCACTTCCAGATAAAGAATAAGCAGGGAACTTTAATATCTGAACACCCTTCTCCCCAAGAAGGCATTTCCCTGGAGTTAGAAAGCTACATTGTTCTGCCATTTTATTTCCCCACTTAGCCCTTTTCTGGTCCCCATGACAGGTCCTTGGTCCCAGAGTGTCTGTAGAAAACAAAAAAAAAAAAATGTCCATAGATGGAGAAAGGAAACTTAATTATTTTCCTCTCAGTGTTTCTCCTTATAATTGGTGTCTTTCATGTCAAGATTATCTCAATTTGTATTATGGGCTCCGTTCAGGCAGCACTTTCTCTTTGGTCTATAAAGAAATTGTCAAGTGTATAAATCATAGTGTACATTAAATTACACTAGCCTTTTACTTATTAATTTCCCCAGTTTTTTCTTCCTCTGTTGGGTGCTCATTCTCTCTCTTTTTTTTTTTCTTCAGAACTGACTGTTTTTTCTTGCTCCTTAACATCAGAAAGAAAAAACAAAACAAAAAAGCAAACAAAAACAAACTAAAACCAATAACAACAAAAGTCCAAACACATATTTGCCTCCTTTCATTTTTGCCAAAGGGTCTGTTAATGTCCTCTGCCTTGTGCAAACTGACTTCATTCAACTCAAAAAGATGGATTAAATCTGTCTAGTTTTCCTCAAGGCTGGATCCAAAAGTTACTTGAGTTCAGTGCAAATTTTCATGGACTTTAGCACAATTAAGATCAGTACCTATGTGGGTAGATTTATGGGATGCTTCGCATCTCAAGGCTGTGTCCATTTGGACTCCAGACTTAGCCTCTCAAGGCTGTATGCTGCACACCTCCTGTAAATTCCTGGCTGCTGTGACTTTCTCTTACTGACTGCTTGGGATGCAGGTTCTGCTGATTTGGAATGATCACCAGGGACCTCTGACCCTCTCTTCTGACCATAGGGGTTGGATTAGCCATAGGGCTCCCATCAGGAGCCTATAATTTGGAATAAGGGGGCAAGTGTTAGGAGTAATCAGGTATTGAGTCAGACGTTGGTACTCGGATGGACAACACCAGCCTGCTGCAAGCATGAACAGTCAGAGGCTGAGCAGCTGAGGGAAGCAACCAAGTAATTTGTCCAGCACATGAGTAGCAAGGTGGGGTTCAACTCAGCTAAGTCTAAAGGCAAAGGCAAACTCCATCATCAGTAGAGAGGAAGAGGCACTGCAGAAGACCATACACAGTTTTATGCCTCAAACACCAAGCTTAAGGGTGGCTTAGAGTTGCACTTTCTACACATTTGGAGTTACGTGACACTGAGTACTCTCCTCGCCTCTGTGGTGTCAGATCTTTGAATGTGTGTAACAGCTAGCTGCTCACATGTGGGTGTAAAGGAGCTCTGCGGCAGGATACGTGTCCTGCTGCTGCTTCATGCATCACCTCTGCCCTGCTAACACCTTGTGACACCTACGTGAGCAACTGGCCTTTGCAGTGGCAGAAGCAAGGTTTAACTATTAGCAGATTGTTTGTTGGTTTTAGCACTTCAGCTGTCTGCATTTTGCTGGATGGCACAGGCACAGAGGAGAGCAGAAACTGCTCAGTAGCATCTGCAGCCAAAGATCCTTCTCTTGCGGGGCATGAGTCTAACTGTAGTCAGTTTATGGATAAGTACATCTTCCTCTGGAGACAACAATACAGCAGGATCTGCTAGGCTCTTCATCATCTTAACCTACTTGTCAGCCAGTTTGATAACTTGTTGGTACAAAAAATGTGTGTGCAGAGCAATTAGAATAAATCTAACTTATTATGGAGCACTTTCCCAAAAAAAAAAAAAATTTAGGGAAAAAAAGAAAAAAATAAAACTAATGGCCTTGCTGCCCAACTATGATTAGCCACAAATAAGGGATGGATTAATTCCCTGAAGGCATTCTATGATATTCATCAGCCAATTTGTGGTCTGACTTTACTGGGAAGACATATGTTAGGGGATTCTTATTGCCTTCTGACCTTGTGCTCCTTCTGATGCTTGTTTGAACTTATATTTTCTTTGTTGGTTGACAAATCAAAAAGATATTTTCATTTTGCTCAGAGGTGGTCACACATAGAAAGATATTTTGAATAGTCCATCTGCACAGGGTATTGATTGCTTTATGTGACAAGAAGTATGAGGCAGGGGAGGGCTTTCAGACTAAATTATTAGCTGGTTCTGATCCAGTCTGCATCTCTGGCTGTTGACAGGAGGGGTATACCCTCATCCCTGTTCTTCAAGCACCCACATCCTGTTAGGCACTGCCAGTGAAGAACATTGTGAGCATCTGTTGCCCTCTCTCCAGGGAGTGAGCAGCTCTGGGGATAGTGATGGTCCCCAGTGATTTTTTTTTGAGTGAGAGAAGGATAATTTGAATAACAGAAACCTATTCACAACACAGTGGCAAGGTTTTTAAACCTACTTATATTGTGATATGAGAATGGAAAAAGATATCTGAAAAAGCAATAGAAGAAACACCTGGTCCTCTACTCCCAGAAAATTCTCAGTATCCAATACTCCTGCAGCATGTGGAAAAATTAGATCCAAATCCAGGTTTGAAATGGAGGCTGCTATGTTACACATGACTACCCTACTGAACTAACAGTAGAAGTGGAATTAGCTTTTCAATTTCCTTCCCATCATGCCAATCTCAAGAAATTTTTGCAATTTAAGTTTCACTGGTCCTGATGTTCTGACAAAGCATTTTTGTTCTTATGCACCAGTGTTTCCAGGGGAAGCTATTAGAAATTTTAAAAGTTACATTTAAAATTTCATGACCTGTGTGAAATGAGTCAGATTCCTCTCCCAATGTGATTCAACACGGGCACTGTCGGGTGAGAGGAGTGACACTGATTTATTTGCCTCAGACCAAGCCGCAGCCTGCACTGGTTACTTCTTTGTTTACTAATTGCTTTCCCCCCCCTCCTTGTGGAGTAAATTCTGGTGCTAATTATGATGCGCAGTAAAGAAGCAAAGCAAGCCTCTGTATATGAATGTCTGAGTCCTCCATTAATTACATGTCTGTCTTTGTTCTTCCTTACAGATGAACAGACCGATCCAGGTGAAGCCAGCGGACAGCGAAAGCCGAGGAGGTAGTTGACTGCATTGCTTTCAGCCACAGTGCTAAATATAATTGTTGTCTCTGGCTTCTCTCAGGCAATGTGCTGATCAATTAGTAACGTAATCACTGCCAAAGAAATTCCCTCCACAGCAAAGATTCTCTTTATTAAATCTCCTTTACTTCGTCTCACTTTCCTCATATTCAATTATTATTTGATTTTAAAAGGCAGGCAGGTGCCAGCAATTGCCTGAGAAACAAATAACTGCCTCGTTAAGAAGTGAAGCATCAGGCACTGACTTAACAAAGTTTAACAGCAGTGGACAGCAATGGGGGTTTTTTTCAGGCCTATGTCAGACTGAGCTCCAGAGGTGTTTAATTTGGTTAGGATAAAGCGGATATTTTATGGTTTCTCTAACCATGTTGTTTCTGCTTGCACTGAAGCAATTCTGCTTCTGGAAAAAGCAAATTCTGAGCTGGCAGAGTTTTCTGCACCTGTATCAGCTTATCTGGATAAACCTGTTGTGGAAACTGAAGGCTTCTCTCAGACCCTGGGAGTTATTCAGGATTTGCACAGGAATAGCTGAAATCAGGAGCTGGTATTTTGCTTTTCTATTCTACACAGTGGATTTGGAAGGCTTTGTTAAGTGATTGTTCAACAGATCACCAGTGATGAGGTGTTTCCTGTAAAAGGTTTTTTACCTGAACTGATGTGGTGATACTTCACCGTACTCTTCTAATAGGAGCCTGTTTGTCAGATCAAACACACAGATCACTGAGAGAGTGTGAAACGGTCTGTTATGCTGGATAAATTACCATCCTGCTATTTTTTTCTTGTATCTGTACATTTATATATATACACACACGCATATATATAATGACATGTTTTTTTCCTCTCTATCCCTATCTCTTTGGGAAAAAAATAGAGAGCCTTTTCCTCATCTTTTCAGTAAAAACCTCTAATGCTTATGTATCTGATAAATGTGGGAGTAGATTTTGTCATTTAGTAATGATGTAGCTCTTAGATGTCTGAAAACTTTTCAATTTCCACCATAAATATAAACTCTTCTTCATTTGTGGGATGTCTATCTTTGTGCTGGCATTAGTGGAAATCTCTGGCAACAGCTATTTAAAAGGAGAAAAATGCCTCACAGAGAAAAGGCACCATGTTCTCCCTCTTTTCATTTGAAATCTGTGGATTTCAGGACTTGGGCTGCACCAGGGTGAGGCTGAAACTCTCCAGTTACTCCAGCTGTTGGAGGAATTTGTACATAGCTTGTAGTTAAAGGGCTGGTGTTACATGCTGGTGAAGCCCCAGGCGGAAAGGGGCTCTGTAAGGACTGACTGTGGTGCCATGTAACTGCAGAACAGGAGAACTGAGTGCTGGAAAAATACCAGAAATCTCAAAGATAAATATTGAACCTCTCTAAAGAAAATCTGGGGGCATTTGGTTAATATAGGGCGGAAAGTATCTGATGGGATTGGGCAAGTTCTGCATTCAAGGGCCAGGGCACATTTCTGACTTGCAAGAAAGATGTGTCACATCCTCCAGCACTGTCCAGTAGTTTTTTAATAGAACCAGGTCAATTTCCTCCCCTTTCCCTCCTTGTCTGATGATCTGGCTCTGTGTCTGAGTAGGATTGGGTAAGCCATGGGCAGTTGTCAATGCCAATCTCCTAGGGGAAAAAGGAAGGGCTCAGCTGCCTGGGCAAATGAGGGGACATTAAGCACATTCCAGTGGAGTTCATGCCGACAGCAAGAGTGAAGGGAGGGCCTTTTGTCCATTTAATTAGACATACCAAAAAATAATAATTAGGCTGGCCAATTTGCTTGGTGCGCCTACAGGGTATGTAGCTCCCAATCTTTTTAATTTTTTTTCCTTTCTTTTTTTTTTTTTTTTTTTTTTTTTAATGCAAATCAGTAATACAGAACACATGCCTGGCTTTCTGGGAAGGGTTTTCAAACTCCTTTGCTAAGAGCAGCTGCTTTCAGGAGCAGTGGTTTGAACTGCAAAGGGCTCCAGTGGCAGCTTGATTCCACATGATCACACCCGTGGCCCCCTCCCCATTGTATTTTAGCTAATTATCTCCTCATCTTACACAAACCTCATCTTTTCCCATCCAGTCTGCTCCCATATTTCTTCTGTCAGTGGTGATCATAATGCAGAGGCCAAGCGGGTGCTCTCATCATTGGTGTGAAAGACACGTTGTCCTAATTCCCCACTGACAAGCTGCTTCTGGGCTGGTGATGTTCCAGGACGGCATGACTCAAGGGCAGCTGTGGGAGAAAAGAACAATTGGCACCCAAGGGAGGCATTGTATGAAAACTTACGTTCTTCAAGAGCCCACCGGTTAGGGCAGGCACAGCAAACAGAATGCTAAAAAGGAAGCAGTGTGTCTTAGGAGCACATCAAAAGGCTTCATTAGGGCTGCAAGAAAAAGGTCAACCTAAACGACAAAGAAACTTAAGTTGTAGCTTATTATACCCTGTCCCTCTATCAGGATGGGACGTAGGGAAGGAGGGGGGCTTGGGAGGTGAAGCAGCGCTTCCACACAGCACAAGTCTTTGGTCTGCCCAAAATCCACACTCTGGATTTTGGGGAATACACACCCTGGATTAAGGGGAATTCTGATGCCAGGCCACAGTGTTAATGAAAAAATACAGTGCTCTCTTTTACTGCAGTTTGCAAGCAGGTTTTTAGTGAAAAAGGTGAGCAACATTCTTGTGGAAGTGAGATTGTGTTTTCTTTGGGGACAAATACTTGCATTTTACTAAAACACAAATCTTTGAATTTTTCAGCAAGTTCTTCCACAAGTAAAAGGTGATGAGAGTCACAAATTTATTCTATCCTTCAACCAGATTCAGCTAAGTTTTTCGTGTTGTTCTGGAGTCTGGATATTTTTTCAGTCTCTAACCCTCCCTGTGTCTTAATTCTCAGTTGAAATTAAAGTGAGTGTAAACATTTAGTGTGTGTGGGCTAGAGTTTAAACTATCTAAGTTTGGGAAAGTGTTCAATATATTATTTGTCCAAAATTACAGTCAACCCACCAAAATGGATATGGTGAGTGCCCCTTAATAATTTTCTGCTTTTTTTTTTTTGTTAATCTCCATATTGTACTATGAGCAAAACAAAACCTTTTAAACAAAAAAGGTGAAAACCTTTTAAACAAAAATTGGCATTATTTACATTTGCTTAATCTCATGGGCAATAGAAATTAATGTGTCCTCAATATATTTCTCTAGGGAAATAGTCTAAATTACTGGGAAAATGTTACATTTTACATTGCTTGTGCATGTATGTGCATAGTCAAGATACAAAATGCTCTATAGGGGTACTTCTACAAAATGCTTCATGAAGCTTCAAATGCCTGATCAGAAGGTCAGATTCCTTTGAGATTTTATACTTTGACACTAGCATAATTGATAGAATATGATTGAAAGCAAGCAATTCCACATTTTGTTCTGAAAAATCAGATTGTGAGTCTAGCTCTACTAAGGATATCTTATTAACTCTCATTGGCCTTTGTTTTGGCCAAATTTTATCTTGACTATATGGGAACTACTTTGCAAGAAATTAGTTAGTCCAATACAATTTTAGGGATGCAAGTTATAACTCCACATCAAAATTTTGAACATAAAAAATCCCAACTAAAGTGTTAGAATCCGCTATTATTTTCATCTTGGTGGAGATGGTTTTCCTCAGTTCCTTGTCTGATATTAAGCTCTAAAAATAGCCTGCAGGTATCTATCACTTAAAGTTTCTCAAACTTGGAGAATGATCTCAAGTCCGTTTTGTGGTTTGGGGCAAAAGTTTGGAGCCATTTCTTATTTCATCCACAATATCTCCAGCTCTCACTGGGCAGCTCTCACTGCAGCTGGCAGGGTTAACCTATGACAAACGCAGCCCCAAGGTCCCACTATGTTGTACAGGCAGTAACATTTTTTAAAAGGAAAGGACTCTCCTGCTGCTCCAGTTGCAGTCTGTTAGTGATGCTTAGATGCTCCACTGCTCCCACATTCCTCTCAAAGGACAGAGGAAGGTCTGTGAAGGAAACCATGCAAAGATGTACACGGTGGGCTACCCTGGGTCAGTTTAAATGTCACTACCAAAATGTGTGTCGTGGTAGTTCTGGGGTCCTCCAGCATTTTTAGGAAGGATCTTGGACTAAAGAAATGAAAAGTAGAAAGTGGTTTAAGGTTGAAAGGGTGTAGTGTCCTGCAGAGAGAGTGTTAAGAGGTTTACAGGAGAGACTGTGGTGCATTGTATTGCAGCGTTTTCTGCATGCAAGCAACCTGCTGAAGTTTCTGTCTGTGCTTTCAAGCAGATCACCTTTTGTGCATGTTTGAGGGAGGCATGTGATGTGTCACATTTTGCTGCTTGGCAGCTGGAAGGCTTGGACTCCATATTTCAACTAACTTGCAATATTTCTCTACATGTTACTTGATGTGCAAAGTCTGAAAATATATGTTTGGTCATGGTTTATTCCCGATTCAGAGCAAAATATTCAAGAACTGAATTAGAGTTAATAGCAAAACAGTGTGCCTTACTCATGCACAATTTTCTGTTTCTTTTTATACCCTTCCATCAGCTTGGTAATGATCATGGGGTCAGAACAGCCTCTCCACATATTCTAAGCCAAATTTTCATTTAGGACAAAAGCCTGGGTCTAATTCTTACTTCAAGCAGGTGGTTTCTGACTTGCTAGCTCTGTTCTGTGGGTGGCAGGGTAATCTGTCCTAGGTCCCAGTAAATACTTGTTATTCAGCTGTTTTCCATTTAACTAATCAGAATTACACAGCTTGTGCAGATGGCCAAAACCTCTTAGGAATCTTCCCATCCAGGTACTAGCCAGACCTAGGCCTATTTATGTGCTGCAGTCAAGAAAGACTTGTTGCCTTCAGCTTAGTTTGGCTTCACACTGGTATAACAGTCCCACGTGGAATGATTTCCTTCCTCCTCAGAAGCCCTTTTTAAAGAACAAACTGATTCCTCAGACATTAGACCAGAAAAGTCTGAAGAAGATATTTAAGGATAAG